GTTGAATCATGAACACTGACCTTAATTGAGGCAAGTGAGGCCTGCAGTTCTTTAGATGTTGTTCTGGGTTCTTTTAATGACCTCCTGGATGAGTTGTTGTTGCGCTCTTGGAGTAATTGTGGTAGGCCGGCCACTCATGGGAAGGTTCACCACTGTTCCAAGTTTTCGCCATTTGTGGATAATTGCTCTGACCCGCCTGGGTGTGGCTAGTGAAATTTAACTCAGCTTTCTAAAATAATGTGGTTAATCACAGTTCTTTCATGATTTAACCGAAGGGGGCAATTACCTTTTCACGTAGAGCCAATTAGGTTTGGACAGCTTTTTCCCTTAATAAATGAAATCATCATTTAAAAACTGCATTCTGTATTTACTTGCATTATCTTTGTGTAATAATAAATTTGTTTGATGATCTGAATCTAATAAGTGTGACAAATATGCAAAAAAATGTAAAAAACGGGAAGGGGGCACAAACCTTTTCACGGCACTGTAATATAATATAATATAATATAATATAATGTATAATTTGTACTACCCCCCATCCAAATAACAATAAATCATTTTCAAAACATCAATTATTATTAAAAACATCACCTTTTAATCATTAATACTATTATTACTACTACAGTTATTGCTGTATTATACAGTATATTACATATTTACTGTGCTTACAAAATATATAATATAATATATATACTTTTCACGGCACTGTATATATATATATATATATATATATATATACAGAAAGATGCAAGAAAAAATGTAATTGATAAATTGAGAGGGGAAAATATGTAAAATTATCACACATTTAAACATTTTTAAATACTTTTAAATTCATGTTTGAACAATGTTTAATATTTTAAGTCAACATGAAAAAAATTTCTAATTTTCTATTTTCTTTTTTAATTTCAATACAAATATAATTTTCAAAGCCAATTTAACCTAGATTTTAAGAAGATTTTTTCTTTATTGAAGACACATTATTATTGACCCACATGAAGTTCTGGTGTTAAGCTTGCATTGTGCAGGTGGAGTCACCTGGGGGCCCTGTTGTTCAGCTCACACTGTACTCTCTGAGGGACCCTCATTTAAAAGTTGCAGTGGGCCCAGTGGTTATCTCAAACTGTGTACATGAATGGCCTGGAGGCTTCAATGGTCAGACAGTATGCACCTAGGACCACAGTGTTAAGTTTCCTTTTGCAGTCTGAAGCCATGCAGCCTGTGGCTTTAAAAGGCCCCTGGCATTCAAAGGCCTTGTGTGGCACTAGCCTGGTCCATTAAATAGCACTAATGTGCCAAAAATTGATTTGGGCTCTACCTCGCAAATATTGATATCGGGTAATATATTGAAGGTGAAAAACAAGAAACAACGATACTCTGGAAGGAAGTGTGACTCAGAATACACAAAAAGAATGAAAAGATAAATAAACAGCAAGGAAGGCAGAAGGACACAAAGACACAGAAAGCAAGGTCACCTGCTCTGCAGAGAGCCTTCCAGTCCCTGGACAGAGACGATGCCACAGACTATTAGTCAGTTTAGAGGACACATCCGTGCATTATAGAGCTCTCTGAGGAAGTTTTTCAGAGGCATCAAACACTGCCTGAGGTTCTAGATTCAATGGCAAGCCCAGGCTCTACCACCAGTGTTCAACTTTTTGTGTCATTGTGCTAATAAAATTATGTTTAAGCCATACATTGCATTTTTTGATTAATATCAAAATTCCTGTAGTTCAGATAAATCATGCGATTCACTTCGAACTAATTATTTTGCAAACCACTCTGAATTTTGCAGCACAATTAAAAACATTTTTTTTTTTAATAAATAAAAATTATCTAATCAAAAGTAATATGTATCTTCTCCTGCCTGTTTAGATGATATTGTTTAATCATCATGTTTCATTATAATTCACTGATGCCTTATATGAGAATGGTTTGATGTTTCAACTTGATATGGCCAGCATGGTCTGAGGATAATCTCACATAAATTTGCACTCCAATGAGTGCTATAAAAGAAAGTATGTACCAAGAAATCTAATGCAATTATGGTTGAAATCTGCTGGTTAAAATAATTTTTTTAAACAATTTTGTGACATATTTTGCCTACATATTTTGTCAACTTCTCATGTACTCTCAGGGTATGGTGCTGATGATATATTCGTCACAATACGTTAATGCCTTGATAAAACACAGCATTTTACAACAAAATTTAAAACGATGACAAAATATGGCTGACCTAAGAGTGTGATTTTTTTGCCTAAACAGTTAATCACAAACTCCATCATCCCACAGCTAATTTTATTTCAACTCAATTGAGCAGTCACCTGTTCAGATTTGTTTCAGTGTTCTGTATGCATTTAACACTGTGAATGACATGAACAATAAAACCATTAGAATCGGCTGTGAGGTGGGATTGCAGGTTTTGTTGGTTTGGGGAAAATATCACATCTAGGAGCACTGGATATAATGGTAAGAGTAAGATGGTAGTATACTATCATAAAAAAGCCAATGAGTCAAGAAAAAGATTAGGAAAAAATAACATATTATATTCAGTTTAATCATTGTTGCATTGTGGGATACAGTACTAAGCACAGTATGCTTTCATGTATACTGCACATATGTGACCCTGGACCACAAAATCAGTCATAAGGGTCAATTTTTTCGAAATTCAGATTTATACATCATCTGTAAGCTGAATAAACAAGCTTTCCATTGATGTATGGTTTGTTAGGATAGGACAATATTTGGCCGAGATACAAATATTTGAAAATCTGGAATCTGAGGGTGCAAAAAAAAAATCTAAATATTGAGAAAATCGCCTTTAAAGTTGTCCAAATGAAGTTCTTAGCAATGCATATTACTAATCAAAAATTTAGTTTTGATATATTTACAGTAGGAAATTTACAAAATATCTTCATGGAACATGATCTTTACTTAATATCCTAATGATTTTTGGCATAAAATAAAAATCTATCATTTTGACCCATACAATGCATTTTTGGCTATTGCTACAAATATACCCCAGCGACTTAAGACTGGTTTTGTGGTCCAGGGTCACATATTAGCAAGTAAGTAGAAAGCCATCAGTGTATCCCATGCATTTAGAACATGGACCTACAGTAGCAGTGCATTGTAGCATGAAGTGTACTATTTCAAATATAATTGTTGTCTACTAATCGCGCAGTTGTAGGGAAACTTCATATTTTTTGTGACCTAAATATTTGCAATAATATGTACAATATATCACAGTGTGCCATCATCTCAACAGCATCTGTGATAGAGGGGGGAAAAACTGTTAGGATCCTAGTGTCCTTAGTTAAGTTTATTTCTGGTGTATCAGTTAAAACTAATTGACAATTTATGGAGCTTGAGAAATTTCAAGTTGAAAACAAGGTAACAGAGAAAGAGAAAAAAGAAAAAAAAAACTTTACAAAGACTAAAGCATATCTACAGCCCCACTAACATAAAAGTGTAATAAACAGTTAAAACAAGACAGTGACATGACACAGAGGTGTGTCAGACCATAAAGAAGCTCAGTGATTTAAACTGACAAGTCATCCATCTCTCCCTCAATCTCCTCTGTCCATCTCTATCCCTCCAGTCTAACCCATACAGGTAACAATCACTCAACCATCCTTTCTGTCGTTAAAGAAGAGCACATTCCCTGTCCATGATAACATCTCTCAATAAAAGAAGCTGTTTGGTACTTGAATAAATAAAGCATATATTACAAATAAACCAAACAAATCAATATCCATGAATACAGGAGTAGCAGTAGTTATTGACAGTAGTATAACAATAATCAGTAGAAAAAGCCTTCCATTCAGACACAAATTATTCTGTTCAAACTTAAAATTAACTTTTGACAAACAGCAGGGTTGGGCAAAATTCATACTTTAAGAATCGGCTTCCTTGAAATTCATAAATGTGAACTGCAAAATTCAATTGGCCACAGTCAGAATGTTGAATTGGTATTTGAATAACAGAAAGAGGAATTGACTGAATAGTAATTCTACCTAGAAATTTAAGTTTTATGACACAGCATAGCTGCATCGTCAATTTAATCAGTTATTGTTATTGTGCTTATTTAATCCCTAATACGCACAAATAATTTTTCTTTGAACAGACATATTTCTATATAGTAAATACATTGTTTAACTTCCAACCAAGGTTGTGTTTTATCTTGTGTTTCATGGAACTCATAGCTGAGCGTTCTGCAGCGCAAAGTGCAGTTCTGTACCGGGTGAGATACTGAGCAAGTTTACTACATTAGAAAAGCCATACATATGGAGCTGATTATGTGATGCCAATGTCAAAATGTATTTATTTACAAATCATGTGCTATGGTGAAAGCATTTTGAGGTTATGCTATAATATTGTGCAAGGAACCACACAAAAATATTTGTTATTAATAGAAAATCTGTCCCCATAATCATCATTTTGAAAATAAATAAAAAAGTTGCTGCCATTTTACTGACTCTAGTGTTCATTTCAGCTGGAAACTTTGATGAATTGTGTGTAAAGGTATGCTTTTAGAGTTTTGCAAAATTGTAGGTAGAGGCGTCTTTTTTTTTCCAGATTTTAATTATGCCACCATGCATCACAAAAAATCATCAAATTGTTTTCAAATAATTTTATAAAAAATAAATACTGACCAAATTTGAATCTATCAACTACATTATATATTGAGCTTATCCACACAAGTGTACTAATAATAAAATCATATTAGAAAAGTCAGTGGTCCATTTATTAGTTGGCTTTGATTAATTCCATGGTCCAAAAAAGTATTTGATTTTAATAGGTGGCATTTCAAAATTTTATTATTAATATCATCTAGAGTTTCTAGAAATATCCCATATGTTGTGTGTGACAATATTCGTGGTTAATTCAAACTGAAAAATAAAATTCTACTTTCGGTTTCAAATTACAATTCTGTATACTGATTGCTACCTCAATTCAAATTCAAGAATTTAAAAGCCATTCTAAATTTAATTCTGGATGGTGCACAACCCTGACAGGCAGATGAACAGTGTATGTACATTTATACTGTGGGCTGAGGACGTTTAACGTTGACCCACATTCTTCAAAGCTCAGTCCATCATCAGTCATGGGGTATCTCTCTATATGTCAGATGGTGATGAAGGCTCCTTGGTTGCTGTTGGCTGATTCTGGCTCCACACAGCGGCCCCGTCTTCGGGTCACTCTCCTCTTGCGGTGGAACTTGGCATAACAACGCAGACCTAAAGAATTTGACATTTACATTTATTATGTTTCATTTATTACATGTTCCCAGGTTAGGGCCATCATGTAATAAAAAAAAATAAAAAAAAATTCTTTAAAGGGGTCATATGATGCGATTTCAATTTTTCCTTTCTCTTTGGAGTGTTACAAGCTCTTGGTGCATAAAGAAGATCTGTAAAGTTGCAAAGACTAAAGTCTCAAATCCAAAGAGATATTCTTTATAAAAGTTAAGAGTCAACCACTCCTACCTAAAACGGCTCGTTCTAACACGCCCCACATGTCTACGTCACAATGTGGGAAGATTTGCATAACGCCACCCAAATGTTCACGCAAAGAAAGAAGGCGTAACTTTAATTCTTGCTTTTGCTGCCGCTGCCATGTTGTGGAGTCGCTGTGTGTTTCGTTGTGAAAGCGAAACTACTTTGTTTGGCCTTCCAAAAGAGGAC